GATAGGGTGGGGGGGGGGGGACGGGGACCAGTTAGTGGGGAAAGGCAGTGGGAAGTAAGTAAGAACAGATAATGAAACGTATGAAAATGCCATAGTAAGAGCTGGTAAAATGGCCCAGAGGAAACAGGCATTGTCAAACCTGAAGACCTGATTTTAATTCCCCCCAGAACCCATAGTAGAACTGTAGGTTGTCCTCTGACCACCACACACCCACAATAAATAAATGTAAAAAGGAAAAAAATGTCATAATGAAACCCATTATTTTGTAGGCTTTCTGAATACGGACTTCCTCTGTAGGTGCCCACAGTCCTTCTAAGGAGCCTATGAACCTAGTCACCCTATTTGAACCCAAGCTATCCAGCACTCTCTTCTGTGATTGCCCTAAAAAGCTCCAAAAGACAACAGCCTGGCAAGGTATCTGCTTCTCCCTCTGCATCAGCCGGCAACTGTCTTTGGACTTCCCAAGCTCAGGTTTGGTCTGGGTGTTGACCAACTCCCTGAACAGAGTTGAGTTCTCCAATGGAAACTGCCACAGAGGAGCTCTCACCTTACACTGAGGAACGCACACATCCCCAACTTGGACCTTCTCTATGGTCTATGGAAGATGGTGGGTTCACCATCAGAAACTGGTCTTCATGTATTGCCTGCATTAGTTCCAGAGAGATGCACCAGATCCTCATTTGAGAATATCATTTTATAACTACTCCTTGTTCTCAGCCCCTGGGAGACTCAATCAAAACTGAGAGAAAACGCTTTTCCTATGTGCTGTTGCAGTATAAACTAGCATTAGCACTAAATGCTTCAAAAGAGAAAAAAAAAAACAACAGACCCTGAGCCACATAGGAGCTGTTTTCTACTGAAAGGTATAAATATCAACCTTTTCTTATCCAGTGTGTTTTCTTGGGGTATTCATGTTAATACAGTCAGAGCTGCCCCATGCTAGCAGTACAGAATAGTAGTCCTATTATTCTAGACACACATCTTAGAGGGAGCTTCTTTCCCGCATATTTCCAGTTATAAATACTGCTTCAATGTACTCCTGGCTTTTTTGTTTACTGTCTCCTACCAGTTCACTTTCAGTTTCTCTAGATCTTCAAACTCTAGTGGGTGCTGCTGTCTTGCTCTCCCACCCCTCTGCCCAGTGTAATGTAAAGATATTTTACAATACCCTATTTAGCTCATCTGCATTTGTTACTTACTAGAAATATTTTTCCTTTACTTTTTGTCTCCTTTCTTTCTTTCTTTCTTTCTTTCTTTTTAAATATTTATTATATATAGTGTTCTGCCTGCATGTATGCCTGCATGCCAGAAGAGGGCACCAGACCTCATTACAGATGGTTGTGAACCACCATGTGGTTGCTGAGAATTGAACTCAGGACCTCTGAAAGAGCAGCCAGTGCTCTCAACCGCCGAGCCATCGTCGGCCTTGTCTCCTTTCTTATTATCTGTTAAACAGACTGAATTTGTTTTGTTTTGAGACAGGTTCTGCATACCCTAGGCTGGCTTCAAGTTCTCCATCTTCTTGTTTTAACCTTTAGAGTGTTGGAACCTACTGGTATGCACCATTATCTGAATTTTCTTTAACTTTGTTTTTTATTCACAGTTTAAGAGTGATTGTATTTCTTGCCCCTTTAATCCCAGCACTCGGGAGGCAGAGGCAGGTGAATCACTGTGAGTTTGAGGCCAGCCTGGTCTACAGAGTGAGTTCCAGGACAGACTCCAAAACTACAGAGAAACCCTGTCTTGAAAAACAAAAGCAAAACAACAACAACAAAAATAATTGTGTTTTTGTCATTTAAATGCTACCATTTTTAGAACACACATTCAAAGATATTTGTGTCAATCTTCTTACAAGTCTCTTTCAAAAACTCCTATTTTTTCATATTCTTTTTTATTTCTATGTGATGTATTCTAAATGATAGCTTCATTACCAAACTTCCAATTTACCGCTTTTCTCTTTAGCTACATCTCGTCTACTTTTAACTTGTTCAGTATGTTTCTGCTCAACAAACATGTATTTTTCATTGGATAAGTTGTTTCTTTTTCATTCTTATTTCTTATATTTTTGGTTGTGAGCCTAGCCTTTAACGGCTGAACCATCTCTCCAGCTCTTTCATTCTTATTTCTATTCCTTTCATTTTTAAACTCTTGGTGAACATTCAAAACATATTTAAGATTTCAGATTATTCTCTTGTCCCCAGTTCTTGGGACAGAGAATTTATAATTTGCTTTCCTTGTAGTTTATTATCTCACAAAGTGTGTTTGAACTATGAAATCTTCTTTAAAGAAGATTGCTTTTCCTCAGTCTTGTGAAACGTTTTAACAGGAAACTCACAATTCGCCTCTGCAAGTTTTTGGAGTTTCCTGGTTTTACACTAGACTTCATGCTAACTTTTCAGTGTGTACACATAGTAACCAGGCATGTGGTTCTAATGTATTACAGTAGACGCTTTTTCTTATCTAAGACCTCAAGAAGATGGCACTCTTCACACTGTTTTCTTCAACTGGTAGGTGGAATTTTTCTCTCACTTTTCACAAAAATGGTAGACCTATTTTAGTTTTAAATTCCACTGAGGGCATGGGTGCCAGCTCCAGCTCCAAACCGATGAGGCTCTGAGGCCTGTCCCATACTAACCTTGAAGTCTCACCTCTAAACATTACAGCTGCTTTCAATACCCCCACCTCTCCAAATTCAGCTTCATCTTCTATTTAAGGTCCAGGTTTCAATTTCCCGTCTCTTCTTGGTACCTTAGAATTTCCCTTTCTTGTAGCCCTGACTGCCCAGGAACCCACTATGTAGAACAGGCTGGTCTTGATCTGCCTATTTCTGACTCCCCAGTGCCGGGATTAAAGGTGTGAGCCACCATGTTTGGCTATTTAAAGACTTTTAATCTAGCATTTATACACAGTTGGAAACATGTTAGAAATCCCAAATCAGATCATTTTGACTTACGGAATAAATAAGTCCAAACTCTTTGTTTTTGTTTTGGAGACAGGGTTCTCTGTGTAGTCCTGGCTGTCCTGGAACTCTCTCTGTAGACCAGGCTGGCCTCAAACTCAGAGATCTGCCTGCTTCTGCCTTCCAAGTGCTGGGATTAAAGGCATGTACCACCACTGCCTGGCTTGATATAAGACCTCTTCCATGACCCGAGATCCCTTGAGGGTCATTATATGCTCAGGATATATCAGCAGCTGCTAAGACAGCATTTCACACCCACTTCCTGGGATGGTCTTCCTTTACATGATAACCATTTGTCTTTTGAAGGCTCTCCAGTATAAACTCTCCTGTGAAGCCTCTCTTCTACTGCCATTGACCACCTTCCTCTTTGTGGACCATTTACTGCATCTATACTTCTGTGTGCACTCGTGAACAGGGCTATCTTTTCTACCAGACTACAATTTGAGGGTCAATTTGTTCTTATTTTATCTCCCCATCCTCAATGTACAGGAGGCGAAATGAAACAAAGCTAGATACAACAGTTTCAGGTCCAAAGGGTAAGAGCAGAAACTAGAGAGGGGAAAAAAGAATTCTAAAGATCTCAAAGAAATACTTGTTCACAGCTATTCACGTTTT